TGAAGGTATATAAATGTAAGTACTAAAAATTTAACAGATAATATTACGTTATCAGGTAGAGATTTGCAAGAAACACTTTCACGATCAAGTCACACTAGAAAAAAAAAATCAAATAATGATGATGTATAACCACGTGTATCTCACCTTGAAAGCTCAAAAAAGGCCCTCGATCATTCATCTCTCAAATGTCAACTCATATAAGACTTTCCAATTGAACAGAATTGACCTTGAACTCAAAGCCTCAAAACCCAAACTTTCAATTTTATTCAGAAATCCCCCGCAAATTAAATTTATGCAAAGATAAAATCGCAACCCCTCAAGCTGATAAAGTCAATTGCAAATTTGCAAAGCCACCAAACGTAGGAGAAATCATGCTATATGAAAAGGACTTAATTGTTCCTATTTCACTAACAATGGCTGGAGATTAGAAGTAGTAGAAGGTTTGGGGACGAAGATGAAAAAAAGTCCAATAACTCCAAGTTTGCCCCTATTTACTGTGTGTGTATGTCCAGCTTGGAATATAAAGGATCAAAAATAAATATGGAAAAAAGATCCACCTCGTCCCGTAAAAGGACCCACATATTGGGTCCAAAAGAAAATATTTTTGCAAAAAAAAGTTGGTTGGAATCAGACCAGGTTGTTCTGATGCGGAGTAAACCCTGAAATTGATTTGATCCGCTTAAGATAAATATCATATCCTACCTATCTGGTTAGTGAATTGCAATTTGATGCATGTGATGAATTTTGAAAAACTCATATCCAACATAGTGTTTGTTTGCAATAGATATTAAAGATGATTTGCATGCGGTATAAAATGCAACCAAAATTTATTTAGTTGAACATGAATTTTGTTGGGAATATGTGACTAAAATAATGATGCAAGCTCGGGGTCGAGCTCTTTTCAGCTCGAGGAGGATGATGCAGCTCTAGCTTAAATGGACTAGTTCGATCCTATAAAGGTCAAAATCAGCGGAACTTCAAATAGTTTGGAATCTCGTAAAAGACCATTCCTTTCAAAGCCCTCCCAAAACCATCTTGGGTCGCAAAATCGCGGTCAAATATTTTTTTTTCTATTTTAGACAATGTTTGATTGTCCAATTTGAAGGGGGTAAACGGATTTCGTTTTGACTAAAAATTGATATGGAGGATATTTTTTCCTTATAGTAGGATATTTTCTAGTTTTTAACATTATTCTATTTTTAATTAAAAATATATTATTATATCTTTTTCCTTTTCTTTTTTAGTCTATAAAAGACTCTTTTTCTGGATGTAGACATTGCTTTTGAAGAATAGAAAACCTTACTTTAATTTCTAGGATCGTTTATTTGTGTTCTCTCTATCTTTCTGCATCTTTTATAGCATTGATATTGGGCGTAGATTCTCTACAATCTTGATTGTAGATAATACCTACAATTAGTTACAAGGGTTAATACTATTAGTTTACCTCAATAGGCCCTGCTGTTAAAAACTTTTTATATAAATTAGATATATAATATAATTCATGGGGTCCATTAAGGGCCCGTTTGAATAATGGAAGTATTAGAAGTAAGAAATATGTTATAAAGGTAACTTTCAAAACTATGAAGTAGGAAGTAGTGGAAATAGCACTTTTTTTGTTTGTTTCGTATATTTTTAGAAGTAATGGAAATAGAACTTCTTCTTCTTCATTTACTTTTTTTGTTTGGATAACATTTGGAAATATTACTAGGAAGTAATTTTATCAATGAAAAGCTGTTAGAGGTAACCGATAAAGGAAATATTAATAAAAAAATTATTTATTTCCTAATTAATATGCATTTTAACTACTTCCGAGCTACTTCTAAGTATTAATGATTGGAAAACTATTTTGGAAGTAAGGATGACACGTAAGCGCCACATAAGCATTTAAGAAAGTAATGGAAGTAAGTTTTTCAAAGAACCAAACATGTTTTTTTGCTTGGAAATAGCAGAAGTAGCATTTACTTCTTTTACTTCAGCTACTTCATAATTACTTTCGTGCAAACAAACAGGCCCTAAGTGTAAACTTTTAATTGATGGATTGTATATGTTCTCTACCATCAAGGATATAGACAATCTCTACCCTTTGATATGGTTGTAGCCCTACCAGGACTGCATCAAATAACAAATTCGGTAAAAATCAGTAATTTTAGGAGATCACTTTTGATGCATCCATACTATGTGACAATTCAGATACATGGCATGGAAAATACCAAACAAACAATTCATTTATTAAAAATCTAGAATTTTTAACTTTTGAGTCCCATTTTGCAATGCAAAACCCATCACATGCAAGGAAACAAACACCTAAATAAGACATGTCCTTCTAATCAAACTATCTAAAATTATGAATCATATATAAGGAAACTCAAGTTTCCAAGATAATACTAAGAGTTTTTCCATATTAGTCCCTTAATTTTTTAATATTCTGAGTGATCATCGAAATTGCTATTAGGCCCCCAATCATTATAGATTGGTTCATAGTTTTTCCATCAAATCATTGGAATTGCTATAAGATCCTCCAATTCTTGTAAATTGTTTAAAATTAATCTTTGCAATTACGAGCAACAATTGAGTTTATGAGACTGGGAAATTAATAGCAATTTTAATGATCTGACAGACAAATTCAAAATTTTAAAGATGTAAGGGACTAGTATAAAAAAACCTTTTTAAATACAAGGTTATTACTCCAAAAAATAATCTAAAACAATTTGTTTGGAGATAAAACTTAGAATCTAATACTTCACTTAAGCATCCTAACATTTTGGAGGTTTTTTATATAACCCACTGAATTATGCTTATTTCTTTGGCCCTCTAGACTCAGGAGTGTCTCACTTACTTCCTGCATTAAAAAGTTTTTCCATAACCCTAACATTGTTACTAGTCCGTGGTGAAGACCAAATGCCATTTATGAAATATAACCCTAAAAATGAGGAAGAAAAAAGACAATGTGATAATATTTAGGGTTTTTTTTTACATGAAAATCACTTTTACTTGTAGTGAAATTGATGGAAACCATTGGCCGAAAAAAAGAAATTGATGGAAAATCATCTATTCCATTTTTTAAATTAAACTACTTTTACACGCTATCATCCTTGCAATGTCACACATTTTCACCCTAACAGTTTGAAAATAACCCCAAATACCCATAATATTCTCACTCGTCCTCCTTCACCACCTCCTCTTCCTCCTCACCCTTCATCTCTTCAGTCACCTCCCTTCATGTTCTCAGCATCAATTCCAACTCCCTCTCCAGCCATCTTCTCAAACTCTCCCTCTTCTATCCTCCCTCCGCATCCCCTTCCTCATCTGTTCATCTTCTTCGGCCAAGTCCCCCCGCCCCTCTCCACACAAAATCCAGGGAGTTAAAATGGAATAAACAAAAGTTAGGGAGTTATATGCAAAACGCTCAAAGTTCACGGGTTTAGATGTAATTTACCCAAAATATTCCTCTATACCCAAAATACCCACCCACACACCCACAGAAAACTACCCACCCTCCCATTTTCCGTTAGCCACCCACGACCTGCAACTACATATTAACTTCTCTCTCATCCCGTCATCACTGTTACCTCACTCCTCTCTCACTGTTCAATAGATTCTCCCCCCCAAATTCTAGGGTTTCGTCAAACCCTAACCACGAAATCCACCCAAATTCTCCAATGTCCGATCCCAATTCGATCCCGAAATGGCTGGAATCGCTCCCCCT